TTACAATGTGTGGATTCTGCAGAGGGTGGGGGTGGGGGTGGGGGTGGGGGCAGAAAAGGGGAGGCTTGGGGCTTTCTGGTGCCTGAGGGGGTTCAGACTGAAAGGAAAAGGGAGGCCTGGAGCAGGAAAGCAGGGCGGGCCCAGGTGGAGGAAGGCCGGCTCAGTGTTGGCCTTGGGGCCCTGGTTGGATTGGGGCCCCGGTAGTGGATGAGGAGGCGCAGGCTCCAGCAGCAGAAGTGCGAGCTGATTGCCCAGGGGACGGCTGCAGTAGGACGGATCCCTCCGTAGAGAGAACAGACGTTCAGCCTCTGGTTTCCCAGAACTGCGGAGGAGAATCCACTTCCTCCCCAGCCTGCTGGGCTGAGGGCCTGGAGCTGCTGGAGGGTGCCTGGCCCCATGCTCCGGAGCAGTGGCCCGGGTAGGAGCCTGGCCGCCAGGAGAAGGTGAGGTGACCGCCTCCATTTCCATTAGAGCCTCCTAGTCCTTTGGGAGGATGTCTGATTTCCCCCTAATTATTGTTTTAAGTGCTCTCAGAAGAGTGTGTTCCTGCTACATGAAGGCTCAAAGGGGTCCTACACCTTGTAATATCATCTTTGCTTTAACTTGCCCTTCCCTCCAAAGGAGAGAAGGCAATGGCTGAGCCCCATCCAGGACCAGCCTCCCCATCTTGCCTTAGGTGAGGTAATCGCCTGAGGGCGTCCTGTAGGGTGGGGGGACTTGTGGGGAGGGTGGACGCAGACCCCTGAAGGGCAGCCCCTGCCGATGGGGAGGGCTGGGCCAGGGGCAACCTTCACAGGGCCTCTGCCCAGAGGGTGGTGTCGTGAGCGCACCTCCTCCCCCTGCCCCCCAGAGGGCGCCATGTGTCCATGCAGGGCCCTCTCCCCACCACTGCCAGGACCCAGACTGGGCCTCTAGCTGCCCCATCTGGGCCAAACCTAGCAAAGCTGGGAAAGGGGCCTTTCCTGGTATAGACCCCAGGAGGTCTTCATGTCCCCCGGTTCCCACAGCCACTCGGTCAGTATTCCCAGTGACCTGAGCAATTTGCTTTCTTCTACAGGCAGGGGCCCTGGACTTGTCACCTAAAACAAACTGGGTCCGGGAAACCCTTGGGCCCGAGTCACCGGCTGTCTCTCTCCATTACCAGGTGGCTCGCAGGTTCTGGAGGGACAGGTGCCTACATCCGGCCAGACCAGGATGGAGAAGGCCTGCCCCACCTCACTGAGCCCACAGGTTTGGACTATGCAGGAGTTTACAAGCAACTATTAGGACGACCCCAACAACAGCTCCCACACTGGGGCTAGGGGTGGGGGTCTGGGACTCAGGGGAGATCAGAAAAACCCCTAAACCCCTGGTAGGTGTCTTACTCCTGTCACCAGGCCCTGGTCCCTCCAGGCAGACACCTTCTGTCCAGTCAATGGCACCTAAGTGCTTAACAAATGGGAACCATTTTATGTTATCAGCTACCTCATTTGACAGAAGAAAACTAAGACCTAGCAAAGGATGTACAGTAAAACCTCGATATAAGGGACAGATTCAGGTGAGGGGGTGTCCCTTAAAGCCGAAAGTCCTTTACATAAGAAAGTAGGTTTACTGATCACATATGTTAAAAAATTGACAAATTAGTTTAACTGTTTTTACTACATAGGCATGTTTGTATAATTATAATCATGTATGAAAAGTTCAGTTTCACAGAAAAGTTCCCTATATGTATGATTGATTTTAAATTTATACTGAATAGGCCTAGTCAATGTGCGCTTTCACCACGAGTAAACAAACGCACCGGCTGGGGCGTGGCTTAGTGCACGGGGCACATTGGCGGGACGCGTAGAAACTGCCGAGTCAGCCACAGAACGACAGACCCAGTCACTGCAAGCGATGCGGTGTGGTCACGTGCTAAGCACTTGCTGCACGTTGTTTATAAGCGGTGACTCTTGGGTTTAAACATGGAGACTACAGTTGTAGGTATGTAATATGTGTCAGTGAGATTACTCGTGTTTTTTCCAACATATGGCTTATTCGCTAAAATTTGTTAAAAGTAACAGCGAATAACAAAAATGTAGCCCTGTTAATTTAATTATAAGCAAATCTTGGTTAAAAGCATTTTAAAATTAACAGGATGTTAATTTCCACATGACACACGGATGAGAAGTTTTCTCCTTTAAATTGAGGTCCATAAAATCGAGGGTTTACTGTACTTGTTCCATGCCGTGGAGTTGGCAAGGGTAGGACCCAGGCTCAGGTCCTGGGTGAGGCGGGGCGGGGGGGGGGTTTTTTGGGGCACCTCAGAGCTTTTGGTGGGTTTTTCTTCCTGAGAGAGAGAGAAGAACCCAAGTGACCAGGGAACCGGCTCTGGGTTCTGGTCCTGCTCCTACGTGGGCTTCTCCCAGTTCTGACTCTGAGCAGCTCTACTGGGAGCGATGAGGCCAAGGTCATTGTTCACGGGTGTTTATTGTTAATAAAACCATAGTACATTTACAATAGTGACATTAATGTACAGTTACAGTATCATACAATATAGCAATAAAATACGCCTCTTCCTCTGTACATCCAGCTCAAGCAGCTAGTCGAAAATATTTCCCAGATTGCAAGCCCCGGCGGCTTTCCAGGCGACCGCAGCGCCGCCGCCTGAGTGCCCGGGACTTTCGGTGAATAAATAGTGTCTAAGGTGCGGCCGGACAGCTCAGGAAGGCTACCCCCGAGTAGGCTGTCCAGAGCGCCCCCCAGTGTCTGGTCCATAAATATGATGAGTGTCCAGGCCTGACCCTGCGCCTCCGCCCCAGCCCCAGCAGAGCCCGGAGCCTGCAGTGTCGGCAGGTAGGAGAGGGGAAGCCCTTTCCCCCCAGCCCTCCCCTCTCCCTGGTCCTGCAGTGCCCGTCCCTTGGCTCCCCGACACCTGCAGCTCCCAGTCCAAATTAAAGGATGGTTCACTTGAGAGATCTGCCCGAGGGCACCCTTAGGGCTCTGCCTCCTGAGCCCACAGAGGCAGCCTGACCCAGGCCTGGGGTGTCGGGCCCTAAACCCAGCAGCAACAACAGAAGCCGAGGCCACCAGGCTCCGTGGGAAAAGCTCGGAAGGCATCAGCTGGGGAACTGTCTTCTACCGCTAACTGAGCACGTTGGCGGTCCCCAAAAGAGGCCCAGAAACCAAAGAAAACGGAACTCAAAGTGACCCTCTGTGCAGGCCCCCAGGCGGCCCATAGCCAGCCTTTCAAAGGCATGACCTTGAGGAAGTTCAGAGATTGGATACTGAGGAAAAGTATTGGCTTTGGAATGAGATGGCCTGGGGCCCAAACAGAGTGTATCTTCTATACATTCATAGGAGGCCCAGGAGCCAGTCTGAGCTCACTGAGGTCCGGGGTCTGCTGTTTAGAGCAGAGGTGAGTCAGGATCAGCTACCACCGCGAGAGGAGAAGGGGCACACGGGTGAGCACACAGTGGCTCTCCGCCTTCTGGCCACAGCTACCCCCTGCCCGTTACTGGTTGAGCAAACAGCTCTGGGACAGAGGGGTTGAGGGTGCAGCTGCCTAGCGACAGGTGGGCTCAGGGCACATCTAACTTCCCGGGGGCAGACAGACACCAGAGGATGTCTGAGGAAAGAGGTCCTAGAATGAGCCCTGCCCAGTGGGGCCTGGTACGTCCGTAGGCTCTGGCTACACTGTGTCCAGACGCCCGGGAGCACTCGCTCCCAGCCTGTCCCAGCCCAGATGGGGCTGGGTGTGCGGACCCCACCCGCCTCACACCCGGGAGGTGATGTAGACGGAGTGCACGCGCTCGGCCAGGGTGCTCTGCAGGTCCTGCAGCGGGTCCAGGCCCTGCACCTTGCTGCTGCGGCCGTAGATGAGCTGCCGGAAGGAGTCCTGCTCCAGCAGGGCCTTCATGTGCTTCAGGAAGAAGCCCTCGCAGAACAGGGCCAGTTCGGGGGCGTTGTGGATCTGTGGGGACGGAGAAGGGGTGAGACCACAGCCTCGCATGCCCCCCCCCCCCCCGGGCCCGGCCTTGGGGGGGGGGGGCATGTCCTGTTTCTGCAGCTTGAGGTGACACCCCCTTATCGAATGCCTTCCCTAAGCACCTCCTTCAGGTTGGACTGACTGGGTTCCAATCCCAGCTGCACCACCAGGAACGTCTCTGGTCTCCTGCCTGTGTCCCATGGGGATGGTGTTGAATGGCCTTATCCCCATGGGATTGGAAGCTCCCTGCTAAGGCCAGGGACTGTCCACTGCTGGGTGGACAGGGGTCAGGAGGTAGATGCTCAGTAACTCCTTTAACTCGGCAGATACCAAGGGACCGCTCTGGGCGCCAGGTTCGAGGTCACGTCCCCGCAATGCTCTCTTAGGGCTGATGCTCTAGTCTGGGGGATTCGGAGAAGCCAAAGAGCCAAACAAGCAAGGCAACCCACAAAGTCAGTGCTGGGAGGAAGCGGTGGGTGGCAGCTGCCTCGTGAGGAGCGGAGCGCAGGAAGGAGCTCCCAGAGGAGGGGTGGTTCTCACAAGAGCAAGAGCGCTGGGGTAGGAACCAGCTGAGGGGAGACAGGCGGCTGGAAGACATGTGGGCAGGGCCCCAGGGGCCTCGTAGAGCTTGGTGAGGGTAGGATTTTATTTGCCTGGAGGCAGAGTTTAAGGAGAGGAGTGACAGAGGCGAGGCCAGCATAGCGGTCGGAGAGGTAATGGTGGAAACAGTGGAGGGAGAGGGCCTAGCTGTGGGAGTTTTTCTTTAAAAAAATCAAATGTAACCCCTGAGTCTGAGCAGGTGGTCATGCTGTTTGCTGAGATGGGGAAGATTACAGGGACCAGGTTGAGGAGAAAACCAAGGCCCCGTGGACTGGATCTGACTCGGGCCTCACGCTGCATGTGGCCCCACGGGGCAGCAGTGACCTCAGGGGCGCCTGGGTGAGCGGAGGGCGTGCGGGTCCTCACCTTGGCGTACTTGTAGGTGTTGACGGCGCTCTCCACGCTGAGGGTCTGGGAGCACAGGATCTCGCAGTGCCGCTGCAGGGCGTCCAGCTGGAACAGGCTGGCAGCCGACAGCAGCTGTGGGGGACAGAGCACCTTGGGCATGTGGGGCTGGGCCTGTGGCCCAGGCGGGTGTCCGCCTAACCTCCGGGGCCCGCCCACACCAGCAGGACACTCCCAGGGCCCTGGTTTATGTCTGCTCTAAGCCAGCTGAGTATTTGCTGGGACACCCGGTGGTGCAGGATGGACAGATGTTGGCTGGGATTTCTGACCTTGGGAGTCTGTAACGCTAAACTACACGCTTTGTCTACATGGCCTTGCAGCCCTGTACCCCGGCAGCAACAGGCCCGTTTTGTAAGCGGGAGGAGGTGAGGGGGAGGCCCAGCCTTCTAATCCTCCAGGGCCGACCACCCGCACTGGGAGTCCCTTCCTAACTCCCAGGTGTGGCCAGGAGGTCAGGCTCCATGGGTGCACAATTCCCCAGCCTCTCAGAAGGGCCCTTCCTGTCACACAAAGGACCAGTGGAGAAGCAGGAGGGCCTCTCAGAGGCCACCTTCCTCCCCTCATCTCTCCAAAGGCTGAAAGTGGGCTTGAGACCTGACAGGTGGGCACTGGGTCCCGTGTCTGACCCAGCGGCCAGAGCCTCACCTCCAGGATGTCGGCGGTGGGGATGTGCATGGATTCCGTGCCTCCATGGTACAGATACTGCATCATCATCTGCAGCGAGAAGAGGTGTGTGAACGCCAAGTGGACCCGAGTGCCCATGTCCTCACCCGGCCCCCCGAGTGCCACTCCAGCTGCTCCCCTGGACCCCAGCCCGGCCCGTCCGCAGATCCTCTAATTCCCGCTCAAGCTGAGACTCCAGTGTGCATCTTCGCTGGAGAGCAACCTCAGAAGTCGGCCCAAGACCTTTCTCTCCTGACTCCCGTCCGGGAGGCGTTCCTCTCGCGCCCAGGAGGGAAGATCTAGTCACAGCCGGGCACTGAGGCCCGAGGAGGGAAGCTGGTGTGGCTTAGGTCACTCAGGCCCCGTGACTCCCACACCAGAGTCCTCCCATGCACCAGGTACCATGCTGATCACCCCCCCTTTTACCTAAATTCTACATACGGGGCTGGGGCGGGGGAGGTGGGGCTCTGAGGGTGGCAGAAGCCGGCTCAGCTCCCCTGTCTGTATGGGACTCCTCGTGGAGGTAGAGCCAGATCTGCGCCCTCCTGGGGTTGTTCCCTTGCAAAGAAAGCACAGAGCCTCTGGAGTCGGGCCCGAGGCGGTGGGGCCAGGAGGGGAGCTCCGTTCAGTTCTGCTGAGGTCGGAGTGGCAGCTCTGCGCTCACGCTGCAGCCTGGGGCGGTTCCCAGCTGGAAGAAGGACAGTGTCCCTGGCTGGCTGAAGAAAGGGCTCCAGCAGGGAACTGGCAAGTGTGTGAGTAAACAGCTCCGGTGGCACAGTCGGGCTCTGTTAGGATGGGCCCCAGGCTGGGAGAGGCACCAGTGGGTCTAGGGAAGGAGCCCAGCCTCTGGAGTGAGGAGCAGGGAGGGGGCCTGGCCAGCCTGTGTCAGCCCAGGGCAGGCCCGGGAGACACGAGTCCCTCCCTACTGAGGAGTGTGGCTCCCCTGGTGATCTTACCACGGCACACAGTGCCTGCCCCTCACCATCTGGGCACCAGCCAGACGGCTTGACTATCAGGGCAAAACAAAAGGCCCAGGTGGGCAGGTGAGAGCTCCCAGGATTCTTCGCTAAAAGATGGCCTCAGGGCAGCCCCTCAGCAAGGGGGGCCCCTGGGCGTGGGCTGGGAGCTGCTCCTGGCCTGGAAGGCAGCCGCCTGCTGCATGTGGAGAGTTGGTGTTGGCAAGGCCCAGCCATCTGTGGTGCCTGGAAGGCACTAGAATGCAAGTCCCTAGGAGCCAGACCAGAGCTGCTCCCTCAGGGCCTTGCTGAGGGGCTGGTGGCTGCAGGCAGAGGAGGATGAAGTTTGCACAGCCTGGCACTCCCCAGGGAGGATGTCTTCGGGGTCCTCCGGGAAGGGTCCCGCAGGATCCGCTGCTCCCCCACCCCACCTGTCCCACTATTTCACGCCCTGCCTCCTGAGCCCAGGGGCCCTGTTTCCTGCCGAGTCCCCAGCACCCGAACGACGAGTGAGGGCATGAGGGAGACGACCATTTCAGATGGGGCTTCTGGGAAACGGGCCTCTCCCTTTAGGTCACGAGCCTGTGCTGTGCAGGGCCAGGACCCCCACACTCGTTGCTTCTGGACCTCAGTCTAGAGACCTGCAGCTGCCACTTTCCAGAAAGGAGCTCAGCCCAGCCTGTCTCCTCCCGACCTCGCCTGGCAGCCAGCTGTGGAGCTTCCATTATGCAACCTCTGCTGTTCTCCAAAGCGCAGAGCTCAGAAGACCTGCCCTTGATCTCCACCACAGGATGGACTCCTCATGCCCTTTTCTGCTCGGCCAGCACGGCTCGGGGGACTGATGCAGCCGACACCGTGAGTCCCCACCCACCTCGGAGGTCGGGGTTCAGCCCCAGGTTCTGCGTTGCCAGCAGGCGCTTGGACCACCTCCCTGCTGCGGGAGCTCGCTGAGGCCCGAGGGCTCGCACACGGGCCACGCCTGTTCTCACACGTGTCAGTGTGCCCAGGCCCTGAAGCTACCACTCCACCATGGAACGGCTACCGTGGCCTGGACGCTCCGGCCCGGCCACTGATGCAGGAGGACACGGGCTGCGGTGGAAGGCTGCGATGGACTCGCGGCTGCCCCCCAAAGCGTGCAGCACCGAGACCCACCCACCTGGAAGATGTGGTACTTCATGTCGCTGATCTCGATGGTTTTGCTGCTGTCGCCATCTTGTTCTGATTTATTGGTCATCAGCGTCTTGAACCTGGAGCAAGGGGACGAGACAGGCGGACGTGACTTCCTGTCACTGTGCGCGACGGCACCGTCCATCACCTGACCCGTCACCGGGAGAGGGAGCGACTTAGAAGTTACTGCCGTGCTCCCGGAATAATCCTCAGCGAGTGACACTTTACAGCTCCCGGCTGACAGCTGGGCCCAGCCCTGCTCTGTCCCCACTGGAATGACCGTGACACCTGTGGCCAGGGAACTGACTTTCCGTTGCAGAATATTTGTTTTCGAATAAAGACGATGACCTCGGTGCTCTCGGCCCCGTGGCCCCGTGGGTGGGCGGAGGGGGCTCTGTGATGCACGTTGGTCACCCGGGGGCTGGACCCACCTGTTGGAAGCCGTCACCAGCAGGACTTTATGTGCATAGAACAGCTTGCCCTCCACGAGGAAGGTCACATCCGACATCTCCTTGTTGTTCAGAAAGTGAGGATCTGTGCCGAGAGGGAAGAAGGGAGTGACCGAGGAGCCCACCTCCGGGGTGCGAGGGGGGTTCAAAGGGAAGAACAGAGAAACAGGCCAGGCCTGGCACCGGGGGAAGGAGAACAAAGGTGAGAGGGGGAAGGGCCGTGGGGAAGGGGCCTCACCTAGTCGGGCCGGCAGGGTCTTGCGGATCTCTGGGATGCTGGGGATGGGGCTGCTGCCGTAGCAGTGCGTGAAGATGGCGGCCAGCTGCTGGATGACGGAGTCGTTCTGTGGGGAGGCAGGGAGCCCCGTTAGCCTGCCCACCGTGGCGTGTACGTCAGGCTGATTTCAAAAGCCCAGGATTCGAGCAGCCTCTGTCTTTTGTTCCTTCTGGATCTGCCTTGGCACAATGATGCCTGTTCCTTCGCCACTGCTTCCCCCGATTGCCTTTCTGGCCAGGCTCCAGCCCAGACAAAGGCGCGGCCTCTGCCCTCCGTGGCCAGGCAGCGCAAGTTGTTGTGGGCAGGTGTGCACCTGTGTGCGTGGGGGTGTCCCCGTGTCTGCCCGTGGTCAGTCTGTCTACGTGTCTGCCCTGTGGTCTGGCTCAGGGCTGCCGGCTCTGGGACGCAGGCCTCCTGAGCTTGGGGTGGGACCGGCCCGGCGACACTCACCTTGCTGGTCTTGAGGATGGTGAACATGAGCTGCAGGCCCTCGGTGACCAGCTCCTCGTTGTACTCCTCCTCCTTGAGGGAGCCGAAGTCCCGCAGGAGGCTCTGCACCACGGAGTACCGCGACTGGGAGAAGGAGGTCCTCAGGGACTCGATCCAGACGTGCAGCTTCCAGGGGACGCCTGGGCCGGGGAGAAGGGCCGGTGTCATCCCCTGTGAGCACTCCCGCAGACCCCCGCGCCCGCCCCACACTGACCCCTTTTCTGGCAGGCTGCCTTGGGATGAGTGAGAACACCCCACCTGGGCCCGGGCCCCACCCTGTGTGCTGAGCACCCTTTCAGCGCAGCCGTGGAAGGAAATCGCCCGTTCCCGACAGGCCGCCCTGAGGGGTCAGAGGGAATCCAGGTCCTCTGCCCAAATGCAGGGCGCCTGGCTCTGAACATCTGCAGCTCAGCCTGGGCCACACTGTCCCACTGCCCGTGGGCCCGGAGTTCCTGGGGAGGACGCACTCATTATAAGCAGGACATACGGACCCCACGCCTGCCTAGAAGCCTGAGCTGACCCTGCCCCATCACACGGCTTCAGTGCGCATCCCATCAGGCGTGTCGGTGGGGCCACAGCAGGTGAAACTGCTTTGTGCAGGTCCCGACAAAACTAGCACTGTTCCTGGGAACTAGAGAGAGAGAACTGTGGGTCAGAAGGGATGGCTTTTCTGGACCCGCTGTAAGTGGCATGAGCATCCTCGGTTGACTGACTGCAGGGCGTGTGATACACCCCATTTTACAGTGAGGAACCCTGGCCGAGTAGCCAGCAGAAGGCGGCGTGGCCTCCTGCTTTCTGTCCTGCACTGGGTGGGTGTGTGGCCCCGTGACAGGAACAACACGCCGTCTTGTGCCAGGTTCTCACAGTGAGCAGTACCAGGCTGTGCTTCCTGCACGGAGTCGCCTGAGATGAGCATCATCAGCGATGGCCAAGGTGGCCGGCTATGACGCGCCCAGGTCTATGTGACCAGCGTCCCCAGAGGAGCAGCCATAGCCTGGCAAACCCGGGAATGAGGGAGGCTGGCGAGGGGCCGGAGAGCGTCTAGTTGACCAGAAATGTTGACCTGGTCCCATGAGGCTCACAGTGCTGCCCCTCCCAGGGCCTGACCAGGGCAGTGGAGGCCAAGGGCTTGAGCCAAGACGGGTCCCTGCAGAGGAACTGCCTGGGGCCCAGGGCCTCTCCCGTCCTGGCCGCCCACACCAGGCCTGGGCAGGCCACGCCGCCCCACATTCAGCTGCCCTGAGGCCTGTCTGCCGTGAGCCCTGGCTTGCAGGCGCTCTGAAGAGCAGAACGTGTGTGTGTGTGCGCGCGCGTGTGTGCGTGTGTGTGTACGCACGCCCCGGGCCTCACCCAGTGCCCTCAGCTCCATGGTGATGTCCACGTAGCCGTGCTCCGCGCTGTAGTACATGGCCTCCTGCAGGGCCTTCGTGCGGGTCCGGCTCAGCCGCACAGGCCCCTCGCCGCCGCTGCCCTGGCTGGACGCGTCGCTTTCCTCCATGTGTGTGCGCGCGCGTGTGTGCGTGTGTGTGTACGCACGCCCCGGGCCTCACCCAGTGCCCTCAGCTCCATGGTGATGTCCACGTAGCCGTGCTCCGCGCTGTAGTACATGGCCTCCTGCAGGGCCTTCGTGCGGGTCCGGCTCAGCCGCACAGGCCCCTCGCCGCCGCTGCCCTGGCTGGACGCGTCGCTTTCCTCCACGCCCTCGGCCAGGATCTCCTCCAGCGACAGCACGTCTGCTTTGGCCTGCTGCGGCTGTGTCAGGAGCTTCCGCAGGACGTTCCTGTGGGCCAGGCACCAAGGGGATGAGGTCCCGCCACGGACGTGTCCACTGAGTGCCTGTGGCCTGGAGGGCCTGCTGTCCTGGCTGTGTGACCTCAACCACGTTGTTCCCCCTCTCTGAGCCCTGACCGCTTGTCTGCAGAACAAGGTGTCGAGCACCCTCTCCAGGAGGTCACCTGGGCCAGTGACAGCCTCAATGCCGAGCCTGACCACAGCAGCCTGAGACAGCGTCCACCTTCCACGGAGTGTCCGCAGCACAGCCGCGCTCATACAGACTCCCTGCCACTAACAAGAACGTGAAGACGAATGTCGTACAGAATTCGTTCACGTACGAATGTGTAGTGTCAGACCTGCCAGAGTGTGTCCCCCTACACTTGGCACTGAAGCCTGGGAGGCCCTGTGAACGCTCATTTAGGGGAGATGCACACACCTGAGGCCACAGTGGGCAGAAGTGGAGACCCCGGCCCCAGGCTCCAGGCCCCAGGCTCATCCCGTCACATCCTGGGGTGGCTGGGGCAGCTGGGGCAGGGGCAGGACAAAGGTCACCTGGGGGCTCACATCCTCCTCTCACCCCTCCCCACTCTGATGGAGGCCAGGCTGTGCCAGGAAGCCCAGCTCATGGCCTAGAGACCTCCTGCAGGACCAGGGGCGCTCCAGAGAGTGAGAGGCAGGTGAGGAGGCTGCAGTGGGGGAAATACTGGGTGGGTAATGGGGGCGGGTGGGTAGAGAGGCCGTGATGTGCAAGCTGGCAGCTAAGGGCGAGGTTGGTTTAGGGAGTGAGTTGGGGGCAGGGCCAGCAGGTGCAGAGGGAAAGCCTGGGGGTCGGGGGAGACCGCGGCGAGGGCACAGTCTGGCTCTGAGAACAGTGTTTGGAACGGGAAGCAGGCGTCCACCTGCCCTCAGCCTTCTAATAACCTCCTTCCTGTCTCCCTCTCCCCCCCGGAGCTGCCTAATGGCTCTGCCCTCAGCCTGCTGCTGCCCGTCACACCCCTGGGCAGGCGTGGCCCCAGGAGCCCGGCCACCATCTGCCCTGGGCAGGACGTGGCTTCCCTGAGCCCCGGGAGCCTCTGCGTGGCCAGCCATCTGCTGGGCGGGAGCGTCGGGAGCCGCTTGGCTCCAAACCTCCACCGGCACGGAAGGGCCGAGGCCCAGAGGCGGCCCCGCAGTCCCAAGCAGAGAGTCAAGGGGAACGGGGCCTGCCCTGGGCGTCCACAGCCCAGGCTCCAGTCCCAGGTCTGCCAGGGACCCTCCCGCTTCTGGGCCCCGGTGCCGGATCCTCTTTCTGGTCTGGAGAGATCTCCAGCCAAGGTCTTCTGCTCCCCACTGGGGATCCAGGCTCCCGAGACCTGGTTTGTGCCCCCACATCACGGGGGGCGGGAACCCAGCAGGTACCTGTGGCCGTGGGCCGCCGAGTGGCTGAAGCAGTTCATGTCCTCGTGGAGGGAGGAGGCCATGCCGTTGGCCTCGAGCATGCTGAGGAGGGGGTCCGCGCCTCGGCTCAGCAACAGGCTGACCAGCTCGTAGTTCCCTAAGGGACAAGGCGGACTGAGCACGTGCCCACCATGCACTGCACTGTGCTGGGCCCGCCTGGGCATTGGGTACGGCGATGCGGCCAGAGGGCCCAGAGGAGGGGCTTCAAGGTCCATGTGTGGGGGTGACATGGGGAGGGGCAGTTGGGGATTCTTGCTGGGCGGGCAGGGCAGGGCAGCATGTACCTACCAGCCGCAGAGGCGAGCTGCAGGGGCGTCTCCGCGTAGCTGTCCTCGCCGCTGTTCACCGCTGAGCCCTCCACGTGGGCGCCGGCGTCCAGCAGCAACTGTCGGGGCACAGGGAGGACACGTAAGTGCAGGGGACTAGGGGGCATGTGCCTCAGGAGGCTGTGCCCGAGGAACCAGAATGGCAGAACTCCAGGTGCCCCTCAGGGCTCCACGTTTCTAGAATCTTCGCCTCCACCCTGTGGCCTTGGCCCAAGCCCCTAAGCTGGGGGACCTCTGAGCTATTCCTGCAGTGACCCTCCAAGAACTCATGTAGATGAGCAGCACAGAAAGTACTGAGGGAAACGGGGGCTCTGGGAGGCAGCAGAGATGTGGGAAGGCCTGGGTGTCAGAGTCCGAAAGAGCCGAGTGCTAGTGCAGGCAGCTCAACTCTTGAGCCTCAGTCTTCCTCATCTGGGAAATGGGAGGGGACCGCTCGCAGCGTTGCTGGGGATTAAGTGAAGTGGTGTGCCCCTCTCTGCAGCGGCTCAGTGACTGGTGGATCTGAGTTCTCATCAGGTTCGGTGAGCTACCCGAGGCTGGGAATGGGTGGGGCTGTGGGACCACCTTGCTGCCTAGGACACCAGGAGGCCTCCCCAATCTGGGCAGGCCTTGCCAGGGGCCACGGGGCAGGGTTAACAGATACCAGGCCATTCCAGCTGAGCTGGGCCAGCTTTGCCTTGGGCAGGGGTGGCGTCCGCACGACTCCACCAGGTGACTCTGAGCGCCTCACCTTTCCTGACCGGCCGCTCTGGAGGGAGCCACCTCCCCGCCTCCACCCCAGGTTTCTGGAGACCAAACCCTCCTCAGAGCCTGTGCTTGGCAGAGTCTGGGGAACCCCGCCTGCCTCTCCCCTGGAGACCAGGTGGGGGGGCCGGGCTGACCTCAGCCCCCACTGCAGTGTGTGCAGAGCTGGGGTGCCGTCAGCGAGAAACCAGTCAGGCACCAGTGCCAGAGCCCGTGCACCAAGGCGGCAGGAGTGGGGCACTGCCCATTGGGGCGAAACTGGGCACCAGACCAGGCAAGCCTGGGCCAGGCTGGACCTGTGCTCAGATCCTCAGGAGGCAGAGCCGAGAAGCAGGCAGAGGTGGCAGCCGGCCTGGTACCCACCCGTTACCGAGTGCCCCACAGGCCAGGCTTCGAGGACGGTGGTGAAGAGGCTGGACATGGCCCTGCCCTCAGAGGACTCACACTCTAGTGGACAGTGAGGGTGTTACATGGCCTCCCAGGAAGGAGTGTCAAATCCCGGAGGAGCAAAGGAGTCTGGGAGTCGAGCGGCAACGTGGCTGGGTTCGATGCTGCTCTGCCACAGCTCCCCTTCTAGACCCGAACCCACACCTGTCCCAGCTACTGAGCCAAGGTGGCCAACAACATGGCTTGGCTCCACAGGTGAGTCTTGCCTCCGGAAAGTGGCACACTGGGCCATTACCGGGGAGAGGCAGACCCGGGAGGGCGCCGGGACACAGAGGCAGCTCTGTGGGGGTTCATGAGGGCGTAGAAAAAGCGAGGGATTGGAACGATGGCGGAGAGAGAACAGCACATGGGCACAGATTCCAACAGGCCCTGAGACTCACCCAGAGACATGGAGATGCCAGGCAGGCCCGGACTGCTTGGCTTTTTTTCTTCACACAAAGCCCTCTCCTCGAGACAAACCAGGCGGGGCTCTGCCTTAAGCAGCACCTCTGGTATTCCAGCCGAGGCAACGGCTCACTCCTTGAGGCTGAAGCTATGCTTGGGGCCCAGCCCATGGCAGTGCACACCTGGCAGGAGCTCACCTGAACCACAGAGATGTGTCCGTGCAGCACAGCAAATGTCAGCGCAGTCCAGTGCCGGCTGTCGGGGTGAATGGAGGGGTGCCTGGGAGAGTTGCTAGGAACCTGGGAAAACACCACAAACGATCAGTGTTTCTGAGTGAGTGACATTCCCAGGCAGGTCACACAGGCACCCGAGTGAGCAAAGGGGGTACCCTGCAGGGATGGTGACTAGGAATTAACTCGGGTGCTTTCCACATTCCATTGGTAATGTCTGCCTGGAGCACCCTGTGGACAAGGCTCAAAAGGATGCTCAATTAGTGATGTCTGCCCTGGGCAGAGGGAGCACTTGATGCCTCAGAGGAAGGCACAGCCAGAAGCACTTGGGGATTGGGATTAGGTTGATAAAAGGTAAAAGGCACCAGCAGGATCGTGGCCATTCTCTCAACTCCCCCACTTAGCACCCTCCTCTCAGAAAGCCCAAATCTTTGCTAACTGTGATCGCCATGCACCTTGGATTTCCAGTCCTGAGACACCTCTACCCAGTTGTTCAAAACTCTGCACCCAGCATGCAGCACGGCTGATGGAGAGCCTGCGGTGCTCTCTTGCTGGGCTAGGGGCCTGGATACAGCTCTGGGGCTTACGCACCTGGATGTCCAAGTTTGCTCCAGCATCGATCAGCATCTGGACCATGGCTTCATCCCCAGCAGCACAGGCGTACATCAGCGGCGTCATACCCTACGGGAGCCAAAGGCAGAAGCGAAACTATCAGGAAGCAGAACGGGGACGTATTCCACAGGCCTCTGCCCCAGAACCACAGATCCAAGGGTCCTGCTTCCCCCGCTGCTCATCCGAGTGATCCTGCGCCCGGTGCTGGCCTCCCCTGGGCCTGCTGGGCGCGTGGCACCCGGAGGGCAGGGAGGGGCATTTCCACGAGCACAGGCCGTGGGGCGGACGCAGGTGCGAGGCCTCCTCTGCCTCGGGGGAGGGTAAACTTTGTATGCAAGTGACTTGTACCCCTCTGTGCCTGTTTTTTTTTTTAATTTAATTTTTTAAAATATGTTTTTATTGGTTTTTAGAGAGAAAGGAAAGGAGAGGGTGTGAGAGAGAGACATCGGTTGCCTCCTGCACTCCTCCCACTGGGGATTGGGCCAGCAACCTGAGCATGTGCCCTGATTGGGAATGGAACCGTGACCTCTTGGTGCATGGTCCAGTGCTCAGCCCACAGCCTCACACGAGTGACACAGGGCTGGGCAGTTTCTGCATCTTTAGAATGGGAAGAGCATTCCTCACTGGGTGGGGGTAAAGAGTATGAATTACTCTGTACAAATTGCTTGCTACAGGGTGGGATTACCTTGCCTGAGCTAAGTAATTAACACAGCACTATCACTGCTGCTACATTAAACGGCCATCACCCCGCCCACCCAAGCCCTGTGCGTGCCAATCACCCTGTGAGCAGTTAACATGCATTATCTCATTTAGTCGCCATGACACCCCAGCTAGGAGGCTCTGTTCTTGTCCCCATTTTACAGGTGAGGGGCAGAGGGAGATTACGTGTCCACAGCCTCACACGAGTGACACAGGGCAGAGACGAAAGCCAGGTCCCGGGCTGTGAAGCTCACCCTCTGCAGGGTCTCCTGGGAGGTGGAGATACTTTACTGTAACGTCTCGTGCTCCTGAGACGTTCCGAGCTCTCCCGGAAGCTGAGGCCCAGCCCTCCCGGGGTGCAGGCGGGTGGCGCACGGCTGCCTCCTGGCCGGGAACCCTTCTCCGGGGCCGGTAATAGCAGAGGCCGCGGTGGGAAGAGTTATTCCTCAGCTGGATCCTGGCAAGCGCTTGCCTGGAGCCCGCGCTGTTTATTAGGTTATTTGTGTGTAGACAACATCTCCTGGCCTCGGAAATCCGTGCCTCGTGCCCAGAGATACAGAAACGGCCTGAGATTAATCATGGCGCGGGGCTGTCTGCCCACAGGTCACTGTGTAAACACCAAGGCCGAGGGTCACGCAGGACCGGGCCTCGGAGAAACGCCACCGCCGCAGGGGAGCTTGGCGTCGTTTCACCCCGCACACGCCTGGTTGCCTCCCCGCACATCTGCACACGGTCTGGAGTTTGAGGCAGGCTCGGAGCCCTGTGGGAGAAGCTCCTTTTTCTGTGCCGGGCCCGTCCCTGCTTCAGGAACATGAAGCGGCTAAACCGAAAGGGCCTGATTAACAGACTCCAGGGATCATCGTCGTCGTCAGCATGTGGACAACACCCAGAACGACCGCTTCCTGAGCACTGACCATGTGCCAGAGGCTAAGTCCCACCATGACCCTACGGGGCAGCACCGTGATCCCTGTGGTGGAGGGGAGGGCGCGGAGGCTCAGAGAAGAGCTTGTCCCAATGCCACCCTGTGACATGGCGCCCAAGCCCAGGTGTGTCTGAAGCCACAGGCTGGGCCTCGAGAGGAAGACGCCCCCATCCCACTCCCCCCTCCCCCCCAAGCTGCCCACACAGAGGAGCTCTCCGAACGCACCTGATCGTCCATGGTGTTGACCCCGTCTGGGCCCAGGGCCGCAATCGCCTGGTGGATGAGGTCTGTCCTCCCGCAGTTGAGCATGCGGAAGCCCAGGTCCTGGCTGAACTTCTCGGTAGCCGCTCGGGCATCCAGCCTCCGGAAGGAGCTGAAGCAGCACTCGGGTCTGCGCAGGAAAGACAGGCGTGTGTGAGCGTGGCCGTGTGTGGACGCTCTGCCCGGACACCGCCTCGCAAGGAGCCGTGACACAGCTGTGCCTGGCGGGCGGGCGGCAGGTGGACGGGTGGGTGGGGAGGACTGGGAATGGCCGGCGGAGCAGCAGTGACTGGCCTGGTCGTGCTCAGTGACACAAGCACACACACTCCTGCTGGTCTATGGCCGTGTTACAGAAGTGCTCTGAGCTCCGGGGAATGGTCCAGGCCGGGAAACAATGTGCCCTCTGGAAAGATTTCCCGGGGCTGCCCGAGGAGTCCTGGCCTGGGCTGGGGCCACGGAGAAGGCCTTGCTGGGCCCCTCACATGGTATGGTGGCTGAGTCCCAGTTCTAAATATTACAGTCTCTCCCCTCGAGGCTTCTTGGTGAGGCCAGAGGACGGAAGAAATGACAGGGAGCAGCCAGAGCCCCAGTGCCATCGAGCACCCTACCAAGGGAACTCCCAGGAAGCCCAGCATCTCCGCAGGGCACTGCGGGCTTCCAGAGGGCAGCTCGGCCGCAGCCGTGTGAGGCCAAAGTGTCGAGACTGTAACTTCCAGAAGGAGAGCAGGCGTTCGCCATGAAGACAGAGGAGGCCAAAACTAGGGTTTGGGCCGGTCAAAAAGAGCAACAAAAGCTGCAAGGCTCCCACGGGCCAAGCATGGCCACACGGATCTTCCCTGGGGCC